TTTACAGTAACCTCTCTAAAGTAGCCTGTTTATGATCATCAGAACATAGACTAAAACTGTTGTAGACATTTAAAATTTCTTTATTTCATTTTTATTTTATTATATTTTTATAATAATTTAATTTATTATATTTTTATTAATTTAATTTATTATATTTTTATTAATTTTAATGAATTAATATAAGAATTATTGATATATTTAATTAAATTAAGTATTATTTTATCATATATATATCGAATTAAAATCTAAATATAATTTTTTAAATATTTAAAGATGATATAAAAGTAAATAGAATAAAAAGAACAGAATTTAATTAAATCGATTAAAAAATATTAATGTTAAAAAACTAAATTCTTACAAGAGAAAAACATATCGAAGATATATAATATAAAATTTTTACATTGTAATAATAAAATTTAAATTTAAGAGGTTAGCAAGAATAAATAAAACATAATCATTTAAGAATTCATTAAATGTATTTAAAAAATAATTATTTTTATTTAATAAGAATAATATATTATATTTATTTTATAAATAAAGTATTGAATAAAGATAAAATTATGAGCTAAATATTTTAGCATAATAAGCTAAAGAATTAGAATACGATAATTAATAATGGGTCAAAAAATTTAAACTTTTAGAATGTCAATGTGATAACTTTTTGATGGATAAATAGGTAAATTTTCAAAAACATAATTTAAATTTTAAATAAATTAGGAATTTGATTAAAAAAATAAAAAAATAAATAAAAAAATAACTAAAATATAATATCTTTTACAATAATAATAAGATAATTAGTACAATATTGATGACACATAAAAAGTTTTAGATTAATTTAATAACTATAAAAAAATAGAATAAATTTAATAATAATGAAAAAATAAATAATTTACCCCTTAATCATTAAGCCTACTTTTAGAAATTTATTTTTGGGTATAAAACCTTAAATTGGCATAAACCTGAAAAATATTGCCTAAACAGTATTAATTAATGAGTTATTATGGTACAATTATAAATTATATAATCAAATAAAATTTAAATTTTTTTTATATAAAAAAATAATTTTAAGCAAATATAAATTGAATTATTTAATATATTAAAAATTATAAAATATAAATATATTATTACTAAACTTAATAAGTAAACTAATTTTAAATTCATTATATATAAATTGTTTCATAAATTTTAAAAAAGTAATTAAATAATAATAAATAGTATATGACCATTTTATTTAAAATCAATTTAAATGCAAAAATAAAACTTAATTTTGGTAAAAATAACATTAAATTATTGAAAATTAATAAGATGGAAAAATCTATAATTTTCTTTTTTATTAATTTACTTTATTCTATTATATTTTTTTTAAAAATAATTAATATATTAATTATTAATTATTTTCCAATTTCTTATTAAAAAATAAAATATTAATAAATTTTATTATTTTAAATAATTATTTTATCTTAATACAAAAAATAATTAAAAAAAAAATTATTAAAAATTTATAAATAAATTATTTCTAAAAATATTGATATATCTTGATAACTTCAAAATTTAAAAATATTTTTTATTCAAAAACATATATATTAAAAAACATAATTAAGTACTATTATATTATAAAAAAATTTGCATATTCTATATTTTTATAAAAATATAATTTTCCTATATCTAATTTTAATTTATATATATTTTTTAATATTTCTTATAACATTCCTATAATAAAATTAATATTCTCAAATATAAATAATATGAGAAATCAAAAATCTACTCTTTTTACAGTTTTAGGAGTATGTTTTGTATCAAATCCTTAAATAAAGTTATATAAAAAAGAATAAAAAGAATAATGGCATAATTAAACTAAACTATATTTATGGGGTAGCTTAAATAAAAATTAATCTTATGATAAGAAATAATAATTTCTTCAACCTTAGAAAATAAAGTTTTAATATAAAAGCTAAGATATATAAGTTCATTAAAGTAAAAAAAATCAAATTGAGTTTTTACATTATATTTAATTTTAAAATAGTTGTATTTGGAGAATAAAATCAATTTATATTAGACATATTTGGCTCTATTTATATCAAAAATTTAAATAATTATTAATAGGATTAAAAATTGATAAAATTGGATGAAATTAATTCAAATTATACATAAATATGTATAACAAAAGATTAGGTATGGGCATTAAACAATTAGGGCGAAGTCTACTTATGGAAAATAATAAAAGAATATGAAAACGGAAAACTAACAAAAAGCATAATAGATTCTACTACCCAACGAAAAGTAAAGCATCTTCCAAAAAATATAATATAAATAGCATGTGGATATGATCATTTTTTAGCTTTAACTAATTTTGGAGAAATATATAGCATGGGGGATGATACATTTGGATAATGTGGATAAGGCCGATAAAATAGACTTAATTGCCCTCCTTTTGAATAATAAAGAATTAATTTTCCAACAAAGATATAATAAATAAGCAATATATAAAAAATAGTTTGTGGTAAAAATCATTCGTTAGCAATTAATAAAGATGGTAAATTATATGGATGGGGATCTAATTCTAATATGTAACTTAGTTAATTAACTGAATTTTCTAAAAGTTTTAATCCTTTAATTGCTGCCTTTGAACCTATTTTAATTAATAAAAATATAGAAAATAATATTGTTACTGATATGGCTGCAGGAGAAGAATTTACTGTTATTGTAACTTAAAATTAGCAAAATGACTAAACAGAAGTTTTCTCATGTGGTCATAATAACAAAGGAGAATTAGGTGTGGGAAATTTGAGTCATTTATAAGATATTACTAAGATATCAAGCCTATCTAATTATCAGTTTAAAAGTCCTAAAGGACAACTTGATCATATAAAAATTAATAAAATATGTTGCGGTTATCATCATTGTATTGCTGCTTTAAATATTGGTGTTATTGCAGAATGGGGAGACAATGATTATGGGTAGTTAGGAAATAATAAAAGAAGTTTTAGTGAAAATCCTATCATAATGAATTATTTTTCAAAAGAAAAAATTTTAAAAGTTTAGTGTGGCAAAAATGTATCATCTGTGATATGTTAAGATTGAATATATTAAAATAATTTGATTACTGTTACATTATAAAATATATTTTAATAATATAACTATTATTATAAAGAAAAAAATATTAATATATATATAAATTTTATTTCTATTTTTCTTTATATATTTTAATATCAAAAAAATTTTTTTGATTAAGAAATTAATTATTTATTTTATATTTAAGAAATTTATTTTGAATATTAATTGAATTATATTTTTTAAAAAAATGCCTGATAGTTTAAAAATATATCGAATTATGAAAAAATTGAAATTTTTTTTTTTAATATTATTATTTTATATTTAATAATTTTTTCTTTTTTATAAAGTTAAGTTTTCCATAATTATTTGGGAACTCAGCAGATAATAAAGTATTTAGAAAAAAATTCATAACTAAAATAATTGAGTATAATTATTTTTAAAAATAATTATATTATTTAAGATTAATAAATGCATATATATTATATTTAATTACTCCACTAATAAGTATGTATATTTAATGTAAAGATACAAATCATATACTATAAATAAATTAAAATATATTGATTTTTTTATGTTTAATTTATAATACTTATTTTATCAATAAAATAAAATGTGAAACATGATTTTAGAAATTCTAAAAATTTTAAATATTTTTATCACTGTTCAAGAAAATAAAATTATGTTTTGCTTCTATTGTAAATATTTTTTTACTAATATAATACAAAATAATAAAACTTTAAAAATTCAGAAAGGTGAGAATCTGAAATCAACCATTTTTTTTATATTAAAAATCTTTAAGCAAGATAAATTTTAAATAATATAATTAAAACTTTTATAATAACTAAAATATTTAAAGTTTTTTGATTTTTTAGGTTATATGTTATATAATCTAAATAATAAATAATCAAATAAAATAACTGCTAATATAGATAAATAGGGCATTTATAATATATATATATATAAATTTAGCTAAATTATCTTGTATTTAAAAGTAATATTATTAATTGGATAAAAAAGCTGTTTACTTAATACCTTTAAAATCAAAATCTAAATGTATTTTTAAAATATAAAGTCAATATTAACTAACTGGACACTTAAAATTGGAGTTATTCAAATTATTGAATACAAATAGTTTAATTAATAAAAAAATACCATATATATAATTAAATAATTATATAATGATATAGAAAAAAGTATTGGGTATCAAAAAAAAGTATTTAAATCCATTAATAAAAAGATAATAAGATAATGGTTTATATGTAAGAAATTGAGTTCCATAATATTAAGTATAAATTTCTCAATAGAAGAGTATAATGTTACATAAAAACAATAAAAATTAATATTTTTTTTTTTTTAAATAAATTCATAAATATAATTCACATTTATTATTGTAAAGTTTAAAAATAATTCCAATATAATTTTTTATCATTATTATTATTTCTATATCATTAATATAAAAATATTTGATATAGGCTTTAAATTGTTCAATGCTTTAAATATTTTTTTCAACTTTAAACAATCGACTAACCTAAATTGTATTTTAGAATAATTTAAAATCATTAATTTTTATTCATAATGAAGATTAAGAAATCTACGTTTAAAAAATCTAAAGATTGCTAGAAAATATATCAATATAGAGTGCAATCTCTAAAAAGGTTGCTCTATACATTGAATTTATTTAAGAAAACATTAATTAATATTAATACATTCAAAAACTTACTAATTATTTTGAAGAAACTGATTTAGAATCAGTCATTTATTTTTAATAAGGCAATAGTTTGATATATTCTAATAATTTTAAGATTTCTTCCCAAATTTCTTAATTTTTTTAAATGTATGAGATAATTACTTTAATTTTTTTTTTTTTTTTGAATTTCAATGTTTATTTAAATATTTTAAATATTATGTTTGAATTAAATAAATATATATTTTTTTTGCAGTTAAGATTGAGTGGTGTATTAAAATGAGATAGAGGTATATTATTAATATATATTTTAAAATGTTATAATTTCTAATTACAAATAAAAATATATAATTTTAAAATATTATTTTGTTAAAAATAAATTTTTAATTATGCTATAATTGCTTATTATTTCAAATAGGTGTTTTTTTTTATAAATATAGATATTTTTTGAAAGAATCTACTTAATAACTTAATAATATCATTACATTAAACATATTTTATATTATTATCTTATTTTATTTTGTAGTAAAGCTGTTTTAATATAATATATTTTCAATAATTTTTAAAATCTATTCATTTCAACATATAGATTTATACAAAGAATTATTTAATATATGGAGAAATTTGAAATTAGCTGGGTTTTTTCACATACATATTTTTCGTTTATAATAAAATAAAATATCTAAATTATTTTTTTTATCTAATTTTATTTTTTTATATTTTTTTGTATATTTTTCTTTTTAATTCAATTATTCTTATCTTAAATATTAAAGTTTTTATTTGCACCGCAATATTTTGCTACATCTTATTAATTATTTTGATCCTCAACAATACTTAACTTTTTAATTTTATTACTACTTATAATTTTTCAGGCTTTGTATATTTTCATTAATTTTATAAAATAATCAAAGCATGAAATAGACATTAAAACATTTAATTTTTTTTAAATTAATAATGTTACTTTTTATTATCATTTATATATACTATCATCATTCCTGAAAAAAAATCCGCTAGCCTTATATCTGTTTTTTATTACGTACATTTTTTTCTATTTGATTACAAATTCTTATTTCACAAAGAGAAAAATAATTTTTTTGGCCAAGTCTAAATTTATTTACATGAACAGTGGTAATTAAATAAATAATTTTTTACATATATATGTATATGTATGAGTCATTTAATCTATATTATTATCTAGCTATTTACTTTAAGTATTTATATTTTCTTTATTTATATATATTGACATTGATTTTAAATTAGTTATTATAAAATTGATAATTTAGTTGAAGAAATACAATCAGTTCATATTCTTTTTATATAAGATTTTTAATTCGGAATAATTGCAAATATTTTAATTGCATTTACCTCATGCTTGTCTTACTAAACTTTTTTATAGAATTTTCGAAATTCGTTTGTTAAATAATTAAATTGTATTTGTAATAAATGCAAAATAATAAAAGAATTTATAAAATCAAATTATAAATGAATAATTTAAAAATTATTTTATTTAATATTTTAGATAAATATACTATTTTTATGAAAAAAAAATATAAATATACAAATTTATTTACAATTAAAAGAAATTAAAAAATAAATATGTTTTTTTTATATAAAGGTCTTTTTTAAAAAACATAGAAAAAAACATGTTAAATATTTTAAAATTTATAAATGCTTTCATAATTTTATAAAAATATTGTTTTTATATGAGGCTAAGTAAGGTTAGGGTGTTCTTTTAACTTAATAAATAAATTCGAAATAATTTAATAACAATATTTTAATTATTATAAATTAAAAAAATAATATACATATAAATATATATATATTAGTCCCTTAAATATTATCATTAAATTTCTTAGAAATATAAATTCAATAAAAAATTAAAATAATAATTAATGATAATAGCAATAAAATTTATAAAGATTAGCTTGTAAATTCTGATATAATAGATAAGCTTAATAATATTATGTAATTTTATTCAGATTATATACTTTATAAGATATTTCTGAATATCTAAAATTACTTTTGTAAATTAAATAATAAATTGAAGATTATTCAGATAATATTTTTTAATTTGATATTTTACCTGTAACTATTTGTGGAGGCTTTTAAAAGTAAAATTCATAAGGTTATAAATTTTAATGAAATAAAGTAAAAGTAAAATTAAAGAGATTATGTTGGTATTAAATTAACATTAAAATAAAAAAGTCAATTTTACTGTTATTATCATTATATTTTAAAAAACTTAATTTTTTTTATTATGTAGTTATCTATCTATTAAAAAATTTTCATTTATAATTTCCAAAGAAAACTTTGAATCAAATAATAAAATATAACTATTCAAATGTAATACTAAAATACTTTTTTTGAAAAAATTTGCGAGTCCAAAAATAGAAAAATCTGCATTAGAATAAAATATCAAAGAGGCAAAATCTTAAAAAGAAACAAACGATTATTTGTAATAACTGAAAGGCTTTTAAATTTTTCTTAAAAAATCATAATAAATGTAAAATAAATTGATTTCAAACACTCCTTCAGTTAATTAATAGAATGTAGCATATTAAAAATTTAATAGCCTAAGTAAAAACTTTTATAGTATATAATTCTATAAATTTCTTAGACAAGTAACGATAATAGAAAAATTATACATAAACAAATATTATATATAAAAAAGAAATAAAATAACATATATTTAATTTTTATAAATAAAGTTAGAGAATGTATAAAAAGTAAAAAAAATAATTTTTTTTGTTTAAATATATATTTTTATAATAAAAATATTTTTAAGACTAAATCTAAAAATAAAATAAAATTTTTAATGTATAATTTGTTCAAATTACTTTTACTCCTTCTTATTATTTTTATTAATTTTGTAAAGTTTCATATATTTTTAAATATTTTCTATTTTATTCTTCATATTATATTTCTAATTATTTAATTATTTAAAATACTTGCTATTTCACATCTTTTATATTGTTATATTACTATTAAAGTTATTCATTTGATTATATTAGAATTTATATTTAATTTTGCAACTATATATTTTTAAATTATTATTCTTTATTATTTATTTCTAGTATTTATGTATTTTTTTTTAATTAATCTTTATCATTAATATGCTTTTAAATTACTTAACTTTGTTCGGTTAAATTTTAATTTTTCTATAAGACATCTTATTCAAGATCATTTATATTTGTTTAAAAATTTCTAATTTATATTTCTAATTATTAATTTGATTATTTAAGAAAATTATTTTCTTAAAATTATTAATCTTTTTATATTTATAATTAATTTTATTGTTCTTCCAATTAGATTTGATTTTTTTATTATAATTATAAAATTTATTAGTTCAAATTAATAATTTACTCCTATAATTAATTTTAAATGCTAGAATTTTAAGATTAAAACTAGTTTTCTTATAATTCCAATTAATTTTCTAATTAAGAAATTTGTTCTTTTAATTAAGCATTCTCTTTTATTAACTTTTACTATTATTATTCACTTAATAATTTTATCTATTATAATTAATTTTATTATTCTTAAATTTTACTTTTAAATTGTTAAAAAGTTTCGTTTTTTTCTTCTTTATCAATTTTATTATTTTAAATTTAATTCTATAAATTATTTACTATATTCACATTTTCTTAATATTGCAATTATAAAGATTTTATTATCATATTTAATTATTATTCTTTGTCTTCTTTTTCCTTTAACTTTTGTTTTTATTCCTATATTTGTTTCACTTTAATTTCTAATTTAGTTTCTAATTCTTTTATCTAATCATTTTAGTATTTAAATTTATCTTCATTTAAATTTTCAAGTTAGACCTAAAAATTTTTATCATTTAGTTATATTTTTAGGAGAACATTTTCTCTTTCCAAATCAGTAATAATTTAATTAAAATCGCTATTTAAATTGCTAGCTTAATTTTATTAATCATTTTAATTTATTTATTCCTTTAAATTAGAAATTTACCTTGATAAATTAAGATTCTATTCATTTTCTTTTTCAATTTATTTTTCTAAATCTTTATTTTTAGTTTATTCACTTTAAATTTAAAATTTAAAATTAGAAATTTCAAAATAATATTTATCTTTTAGCTTTTCATATTCTTATTTATAATCTTCTATTTTTATTAATAATTTTTAAATTGTTGATTGTTTTTCTTATATATCTGTTTCTAAATATTTCTAATAATTTTAATTTTAATATTATTTATTTATTTGTTCTTATTAGTTTTCTAATTCTTATTTATAAAAATCTCTTTCTTTTATTATTTTTTATTAATTTTCAAGTTTTTTTTAATACTCTTTCTTTTCTAATTCTAATTAATCTATTTGTTTGTTAAATTTATCTTAGTTCTCTTAAATATATTTCTTTTAATTATTTATAATATTTTCTCTTGAATTTATTGCTGTTTTAGGATCTTCATCTACATTAAGTCCTAAATTAGTATAAACATTATCTCTTTAAGCGGCAATTTTGAGAATTTCAAAGTCTTATTAGCAAATTTTTTTTTAAAGTTAATCAATTTAAAAATCTTTTTCTTCTTTTTATTTATTTTATTATTCAATATTTTCATTTAAGCATTAAATTTTCAAAGTTTATTCATCAATCTTATTAAGCATTTAAATATATAATTACTAAAAATCTATCTAATTTGAATTTGAGTTAAATTAAGAATTATATAGAGAATCATTAAGAATTTATTATTAAGTAACAAGCCATTTCTAAGATATATGCATAATTGCATTTTAAGATGCATCATCTAATGTCATTATCAAGTATATATATTTTTTATTTTCTGATTATAATAAAATACCAAACATTAATTCAATTAATTTTATTATTTCATTTTTATTTATTTTGTTAATTATATCTTATATATTTATATAGTCATCTTATATTGTAAATTTATATAATTCATTATAATAACTATAAATATCTTGTACTAGTTTATTCATATTTGCAAAATTTAATGCAAAAATCATGCTTTCTTGATTTTCTATTTTATTTATTTTTTTAAAATGATGATTGTTTATTGAATATAATGTTTCTGATATTTCATATCCTGTATTTAAATCAAAAATATCGTTTATAGTATCTTATATAAATTCTATTTTTTTAAAAAAAGCTATTATACTATGCTCTATTATTTCTACTGAAGGTTATGAATTTTAACATTATTATGATTTTATTCCTGAAAAACTATTAAGCATTTTCTTATAGTCAAATATATTTTATATATATAATATATTAATATATGATACAAATAAATAAAAATCATTAAAATATATAATACAAAATTTTAAAATCACGGTAATTATTTATATAATGAATAATTAATTTTCAATATTTTTTAATATAAAAAAAATGATAATTTCTATTAGATTTTTTTTGGAAATTTGATAAAAATTATAAAATACAAATATATTTATAGATTTTGTATTTTAAAATCTTTAATATATAATAAAATTGATAATATTATAATTATTAAAATTAACCCAATATATTTTTAATATTTATTTATTATTTAAAATAACTAAATTTTCATTTAAATCTTTTTTATCCTTTGCTCATATTTACAGCCGTTCCTTTTTTAGGTTTTACAAGATTAGTTTTAACATTAATTTAAATTTCTTATTCTTTTTAAACAGGTTGATATTAAGGTGTATCTTCTCTGATCTAAATTTTTTTTAAATCAACATATCCTTTAACTTTTTTATCAATTTATTAATAATTAACATTTAAATCTAATTTTTCTTCTTCACGAAAGGCTTCATCTTCTTCAGGAATTCTATCCATCATTAATTTCATATTGACTAATATTTTTATTTTTGGTTTAATGAAATCTATATTAGGATTTAAATTAAGTAAATCATCATCATAATCAGTAATTTCATTTTAATTATCATACCTACCAATCATTTTTTTCATATTAATATCAGCAACTTTTTTCTGTAATCTTCCATTACTATTTAAAATTAAATTATCTCCATCTACGTCTCCTTCAGGCTTCTAAATTGGTTCATGATCAGCTGCTGTCACTTTTTGAATGTCTAAAGTTGGAATATGAGGGTCTATTTATGTATAAATAACATCATATTCACCTAAATGAGGCATTCTTTTTTTTTCTTTTTCATAAAATTCATGCATTATCTTCATGAATTCTTCATGCTCAGCAAATTCATCTTTCTTCATATTTTGTGCAAAATTATGAGCTTTTTTCATGTTTTCTCGTACTTTGTTTAAATCCACATCATAGAATTTATCTTCTTCTTAAAATAATAGACTATCAGGAGGATTAGGTGGTAAAATATTCGTCTCTTCATAATATTTAAACGTTTTTTTATTATTAGGTTTAATTAAATCAACTTTTGGAAATAAAAGATCATTATCGAAATGTTCTTTCTTTAAATATTCCATATTATTTTCCCTTATATTATTTTAGTTTAATTCGGCATATTTTACATTTCCCAAATCTGTTCTTATTTCTGTTTATTTGTAATTTATTTCATATTTTCCTGGTCCTCTTTCTTCTTCTAATGTTCCTTCTTCACCTATATATTAAGGTTTATGTTCATCCAATATTATTGCCGCATAAGCATTTTTTTATATTTGATTATATTACGGTTTATAATCTCTCCAATCGGGAATTTCTATTTAAGGATTTATATCAGCTTTTGCAAATGTATATTCTGGTTTATTTTGATATAATAAATCATCCTTACAATAATAATAATCTGGACCTGGAATATCTTCCTTTGGATGCTTTTTTATTGGACTATATGAACTTTTTCTGTACAAAACAGCTGTTGGAGCAGGTTTAAATATATACTAATCATATGTGCCAGGTCCTAAGTCTTTTAAAGCTCTCAGTTTATCTAAAAAAAGGAAAACAGCAGCAGTTTTTTCTCTTGAGTTTTATGGAAGACTAACTATATTTTAAATATTATTAGTAAATGATACTCCTTGAACTTTTTTTTTTAAATATGCATCACTTATTATAGGCCTTTATAATTACATTAAACCAGCTTATTTTTCGAGTTCTGCCAAAAACATTTTTTTTGATTTTAATTTTGGATTTATTGGTGTTGGATTTTTCATTATTGCTGCCTGACTCTTCTTTTTTATTAAATCAAAGTTTGGACTTAAATATGTATTCTATAGTGCTTGCTTTTAAGAAAATCTTATACTTTTGGGAATAAATATTCCTGATTTTGAAACTTCTATTGATGAATAATTCACATCATATGCGCCTGGGCCTAAAAAAGATGTCATACTTGCATTAGTTTCTAAATCATTAAAAATACTTGAGCGTGAAGTAGTTGATTAGTTTTTATGAATGGGATTTATTATGGCTGTTTGAGGTTTTCTTTTTACATATTCACATTATGGTTCGTAAATTAATTCTTTGTATAATTATTTTTCTTTGCTTTTTACTGGAGAAAAGCGGTCGCTTTTTGAAAATACAATACCTTTTTAATTTTAAGGAGGCATATTTTGATTTTCTGTTGCGGCTAAACATTATATTTCTGAATGTTTTATGTGAGACTTTTTATTATTATTTTATGCTCTTAAAGCTTTTGGGAATGCATGTTAAGGAATTGATTTTTTTGTTAAAGTTACATATGGGTCAACTGGAAGAGATGGATTTGAAATTATTTTTATTTATTCTTTTGCTTATTTAAATGATTTTTTTGTATCTTTTAATTCAGTTTATGTTTTTTTTATTTCTTATTATAGCTCCAAAAGAAGACTATTTAACATTTTTTTTATTTATTATTTTTATTTAAAATAGTAAAATAATTTTGAAATGATTTAATTTTAAATTATCTATTAACTAATAAAAAATTAATTTATAATAAGATTATAGATTATATAATATTAATGGAAAAAATTTAATAAGTTTTTAGTAAATATTTTAATATAAAAAATGATTTATATAATAGCATATATAAAAACGAATATTATACTCCTTATTTATTTTTAAACTAAATAAATTGAAAATATATTCTTAAATATGAAAATTTTAAACTTCTCATAAACCCAATATTTTGCCATAAAATTTTTGAAAGTCCTCTTTTTTTTCTGCTCCACAAAAAATCTATTTTTTAAAAACATTTTTAGAATATGATGATAGTTTTAACTGAATTAAATTATAAATAATATTATTTTTTAATTTATATTTTATTTTATTTAAATAGCAAAAAATTATATTATTTTAAATAATATCTTAAATCTTATTTTGTGAAAAAATCAAACCTTTTACAATTTGAAAGGAGCAGCAAATTTCTACTTTTTAAAAAAGTTTAGGAGATACCAATATTTATATTGCTTTTTTTTCAATGCATAGTTTTCTTATTTTTAGATGATTTGCTTAGTCTCAGAGATTTAATAAAATAAAAGTACAAAAATTTATAAATTTTTATAAGTTTAAAATATGTCAATAACAGTTTTTATATAATAATTAAAATAATAATAAGAAATATTAAAATTATATTATAATATTAATTGACTAAATTTTATTAATATTAAAAATAAATTTAAATAAATAATTTAATAAATTATAAAATATTTATTTATTAATTTTTTAATCAATTTTTAAAATTAATTATTAAATTAAATTAAATTAAATTAAATTAAATTTATTAATTTAATAATTAATATATTTTTGTATTTTATGATTATTAATAATCTTATTTTTTTTTATTTTTTATATTATAAAACTAAAATTATTAAATGGGATCATGTATAAATAAAAAATATAAATATTAATGTGAAAAAAATACAATTCCATAAGATTAATAATAATTACCTAATAGATAATTATTTTAAGCTATAAATTTCTAAAAAAAATAAGAAAATGATACTTATAATCTTGATGAATGGTATTAATCTTAATAATTTTATAAAGGTGAATTGCTATTCTGTAAAAAATTATTTCATTAAATGTACAATAATTACAAATTATACTAAGTATTAAAATAAATTTATTTAAAAAATATAATGAATAATTTAAAAAATTATATAGGAGCATTATAATCCAAATTTTGTTAAAATAATATTTTAAAACTAAAAAAAAGAAAAACAATAAATTAATAAACTGAAAAATGAAGATTTATTTTATAAAATAAAATATTTAATAAGAAAGTAAATTTAAAAATATAAAATTTATATTTTTTATAATATAATTAGAGGTTGTAAATTATCTTTAATAAGAGAAATAATTTTTAAAATGTACAATATAAATTGGGAAGATTGTTAATATTAATACAATATATTAAGAAATGTTGTTTTTGATAAAAGTAGTTAATCATCAATAACATTAGTTCCTACATTTAGTGAATAAAAATTTAATGATTTAATAAAATATTCATGTTTAAATAAAGAAGGAAAATATGCTTTGAAAAAAATATTATGGGTTTTAAAAGATACTTTGCCATAATTATAATATAATCCAATGGTTATTTAAGTAAGTACAATTAGTTTAGTCTTTTTTAATGAACCTGAAACTTATTTTCTAATGTATAATTTAATAAGTTAGAGTAATATAATGTTAAAATAAGAAACGAAGAATTTGAGGTGGCATTTCACTTTAAATGCTAAAGATTTTAGAAAGTAATGAAGTATTTTTTTTTATTTTGTTAAAAAATAAAAAATATATGTTTATCTTCTTTATTAGAAACGCGAAACTTTTCTTTGATGTAGCTTAGTTAAGGAATAGTCAATTTAAAGATTTAATATAGTATTTTGAAAAAATAGACTTTGATTATATTGATTAATTTATGTAATGGTCGACTTTTTTTTTTTTAAATATCTTATCTTTTTCAGTAAAAAAATAATTTATATATATAGAGCAATAATTTAATACACTGATAAATTAAAAAATTAGATGTTTCTTTTATTCTATTTTTAATATTTAAGATAGAAATAATTAAATTAATAAAAACTAAAGATATAATGAAGATAAAAAAACATTTAGTATATATATATATATATATAATGTTAATACACCCAGCTAATTGCTCTGCGTATTAAATTATTGCTCTCCATACCACATAATATTTTTTATCTAATAATAAAGACTGTTATAAGACTTTGGACTATTTATATAAATGAAGGCATTAGATGTATCTATAAAATTACTTTTGGTATTTTTATGACATTAAAAGTATTTAATTAAATAATAAATGAAACCAAATTTATTAAATTATAAAATATAAAAAAGAATGATATCCTAAATATTTAATCATAATCTGAATTATAAAAATTTCTTTAAAATGTCAAAATCGACTAAACAATAGAAGAAACTGATAAACTATTTATTGTAATATTAATATAATTAAATTAATTAAAAATAAAATATTTAATATATATAATAAAATACTGATATTTAACATAAAACTAAACAAGACTGCATATAAATTGAAAATAAAGTAATTAACTAAATCTTTAAAAAATATATTATCCTCTAAAAATGTGCCTTTTGTGAAAACAATATATAGACCTAAAACAAAAGAAAAATCTTAAATAATAACTTATTAATAAGTAAACTATTAAAAAATAATTAAATAAAATAAAATAAACTAATTTAAAAAAAGTTGGAATTAATTTGGGACTATATTCCAAGTTCATTTAAAATAACAAATCCATAATTAATATTTGCAACATATAAGCATGGATATTCACTTGAAAATTTATATTTAAAAGCCTCTTAAAATAGTGAATATCCAATGCTTCTATTAATAAAAACAAAAAAGCAGTAAACTTATATATATAAAAATTATTTTAAAAAATATTTAAGATTTTTGGTGTTTGTAGTTCTACTATGCTCACTTTATCTAATTAAACTAAATTTTATGGAACAGATGAAATATTTTAATTTACATTAAGCCCTAAAGAAGAATTTTATTTTACTACAGGAAATAATTAAAATTATATGTATTCTAACAAAACATATTTTAGTTTTGGATTTGAAGGGGATGGCGTAGCTCTATAAATATCAGATGGTTTAAAAGGAAGTAGTTATTATTGTTAAACTTTTGAAAATCCGCCTTTACATAGAGATAATTAATCGAATTAATTTATTTGTTTGGAATTAGAATTATATGCTTTAGCATTTTGAAATTAATTATTATTATTTTTTATTTTTTTAAGATTTATATATTAAAAAATTAAAATTTTATATTTCCAATAAATGTAATATTTGTAGAAACTTTATAGGAATTTACCTTTTATAAAGCAAAAAATAAATTTATTTAAATAATTAACAAATATAAACCATAAATTAACAATATTAAATGAAATTTCAAATGAATCATGCAAAATTATAGACTTGGCGAATATTTTAAACTAATTTTATCCAGAAAATATATAAATAAAAAATGCGATAAACGAGATTTAAACTCTATTTGATAACTTAAATAAAGACAAAATAATATACAATTAGCTTCTTTAAATAAAATATTTAGAAACATAAAGAAACACATATTTATTAGATGAGGAAGAAATTCTTTTTATAAATAGACTTTTAAAAGAATATGAAGATCGAAATTTTATAAATAAAGAAGTTGACGAAAATTTCTTATTAAAGTATAATTAATTAAGAGAAGAAGAAAGCTAAATTTTAAATTAAATTTCAGAAAACAGAATAAAAAATTGTATTTAAATTGATTTTTCCAAATATGCCAATAGTTAATAATAAAATATTTTTTAATTGAATTTCGCACATTTAGTTTAAATAATTAAACAAGTACCTGATAATTAATTGAGGAATGATTTATTTGAAAAATGTTTATAGATAAATCAAAATAATCAAACATTATTTGAAAATCTAATAAAAGTTCGCCAAAAAATAATTCTTTTAATAAATGAAAATAAGTATTTTAATTATTAATAGTATACACTTTTTTTCAATTCTAAATACTTTTCTTCATTTAATCAATTTTAAGTATAATATATACTAAATACTTCTCTTCAAAAAACATAAAAAAGATTAAATGAGATTTTGTAAAAGAAAAATTGCATAAAAATTTTATAAAAGATACTTAATTTATAAATTCCTATAAATAATTTAAAATATTAAGATTTTTTATTTTTGAAAAATTATTTATTAACAAATAATAAATATTAACTATCTTTTGATAAAATAATTTAAATTTCAAACAAAATTTCTTTGAAATTCTTTAATTTATAACTTAAAGAATATATAGGAAAAGAAATTTATAGTGATTTTTTTCCTAAAAATTATCAAAATTTCAAAATATTTGAAGTTTTAGAAAATGGTTGTGAAAAAAAGGCCTTTGTTTTGATTCATTTTTCACCTTTTTTTTCTTCGAAAACTAATTTTATTTAAGGTTTTTGTTAAATAGGATAATATTAATAAATGCCTCATCTTTTTATAAATTTAAACTTCTTTTTATAAAATAATAATTAATTAAACTTCGATAATTTAATTAGCTTTTTACATGAAATGGGACATGTTTATCATTCTATTTTAAGTAAAAATAAATACTAATTTATTTCCAATAATTTCTCAATCGATTATGCTGAAACATGTGCTAAAATATATGAAAATTTATATTAAATAGAAGATATTTTAACAGACTAAACTGATTAGGAATTATTTATAATAATAAAATGTTATAATTAACTAGAGAGTATCTATTAATCTTATATTGATGCCTACATAAATTAATAAGGAAATAACATTTTTTAATTTAATTAAGAAAAAGTGAAAGAAATATTTAATTATGAATAATAAAATTGGTGGTTTTGTAATATTGATGTATCTGAAAATTATGAAGGAATGTAGTTTTCATATGTTTTAGGCGAAGAAATATACAATGAATTATCTTTTTTGAAAGAAGATGATTAATAGAAATTTTTAATTTCTTTTTTTTAAAAAGGACATTTATGAAAAAAATGCCTATTTATTTTTTTATCTATTTTAAGAATATTATTTATCTAATTTAAAATAAAATTAAAGATAATTACAATTTATACAAATAATACATTTTAATTAAAAATAAAATATTTTGAGATATTAAATTAATTTTTTAGAAAAGCAAAAACAATTAAAAAAGAAGAAATCTTTATATGTACTACAATTGAATTTTTTTTCATATATAGTCTATCTAAAGCTTGGCATTTTATTTTAAAAAATTTAATCCTATTATTTTTTAAGAAACCATTACTTATATACAGGAAGAAAGTAAGGTAATTATATTTTTATAAATTTTTATGTATATAAAAATATTCTAAAAACCTTTATCAATCAATTATGAAATATGATTATAAATAATAAAAATGTATTTTATTATTTGAACATTATTAGCTTATCATTCTTTATTCCTTTAAGCAAAACTTAGAATTGTTTTAATAGTCTAATATTTATAAAATTCAATATGTTAACATATTTTTCAATAAAGATGAATTATGTATTTTAGTAAATATTATTATTATTTTTTATACACTATTTATGCCTTAATTCGTATCCAAATGAAGTTTTTCTATTTAATATTAACTTATTTAATTGTTTGACTCATTTATTTTTTAATTATATCACATCATATATATATTTTAATATAAAAAATTGTAATATTTATGTTCAAAAATAATTTTTATTTATTATTTAATATAATTATTTTTAATTCTTTATATTTATAATATATATTATTATTTTACAATTTATTTTTAATTTTATAAATTCCATTCTAACTAAACCTTATATATTATACTTTATCATATTTTATTTATATTTGTTATGTTATAAAAATGATTATTTTTTGTAATTTAAATAAAAAAATTACTTTTATTAATTTTTAATATTTAATCTATATTTTACAATTAAAATAAATATATATTAGATAAAAAATATATTAATATAATTAAAATATAAATATATTATATATATATTTAAACATATATATATATATATTATATATATATATTTATATATATATATTTATTAATTTATATTAAAATTTTTTATACATAAATATTTTTATTTTTTATATATATTATATACT